GGAGAGGAGCTGGCCAGCTATCGGGGTGCCCACTGGGAACACGTGGGGGTCTGAGACCACCGTGTAATGAGGACAGCCGGCTCTCTCCACTGCCGGACCCGGAGATGACCCTAGAGCAGTGGTCTCTCTAAGCTTTTCCAGTGATGCGTGGAATACATTTTGTTCTGTGCACCAAGGCATGTGCGGATGTGCACCACCAAAAGATGCACATGCTGCTGGCTCTGGGTGCTGTGGGCGCTCTGCTAATCAGCTGGGCGGCATCTGAATCTCTTCTGGGCACCGCACAAGCGCTCAGCTTAGAGGGAACACTGCCTGTGATGTAGTGGGCAGACCATACCCTCTGGGTATGTGCGATTCCCACTGACTCACCCAAACGTGTATTAACCCAGACACCTGAGCTCAGCCTGAGGAGCTAACGGGATTCCCAGGGGGAGAGACAAAGGGAGGGAGGCGGAGATCAGTAGGAGGCTTGGGGGAAAAGGATCAGTTGCTGGCTGGGGAACATGAAGGAGTCGGCCTATACTGAGGACTGGAGGTCTAAGGGGGTGATGCCCCCCCCCAACCCAAAGGATCTGAGGCATCCTGGCCCAGACTCCAGTAGCCACATCATGTCTATGCTGTGCTGTAGCCTGGAGGAGCAATAACCCCTCTCTTTTTTCTGGGGTTGGCGGAGTCTGTTCTTGCTGCTACGGGCTGCAGGATTTGGGGGAACCCCGACTCGGTGTCACTCTGCCCTACCGCACTGCGGGACACACAGCTGGCCCAGCTCTGGGGCTCAGATCAGCAGGCCTGGCCTTCGTGAGCCTGATTCCTGTGTCGGCGTGAGTGCCTCCTGGGGAGAAGGAAAGAAAGAGGCGGGGAACCCATGGGCAGCTCTGCAGCTTCTGACCACGTGCAGCAGCACTGCCAGCGCTCCCGATTTCGGGTTCTCTTCTGGAATCGCCAGCTCCCGCAGGCCTGGGGCGCAGGGGAAGCTCGGCACCCGATGTTCAGAACAGGAAGTTCTGGCCTTTGTGTCTTCGGAGATAAGCTTGAAGACCAGTCGGGGGCCAATACCAAGAGCCCCGCATGGACGACTTTGGGAAGGCTCCTGAGTCTGGCGCGGCCTGATGCACAATTTGGGATCTGCATAAGGGGAGGAAGAGGAAAGTTACGGAATCCCAGTCTTCCAGCAGAGGCCGGCGCCCTGAGGGGGTCCAGGCAGAGTCTCTGCAGATCCCTGGATTGGAAAGACACAAACTATTCACTCTCCCACTTTCACAGATTTGAGGCAGGGAGTCAAGTTGAAGTGTGTCCACTGATTGGAGGCAGGGAGTCAAGTTGAGGTGTATCCACTGGGTGGCGGCGTGTGCAGGGATCTGACGTTGCCGGGGGGCGGAGTGTGCAGGGATCCGATGACGTTGGGTGGCGGCGCATACAAGGATCCGACGTCACCGGGTGGCGGCATGTGCAGGGATCTGACGTCGCTGGTGCGTACAGGGATCTGACGTCGCCGGGGGCGGCGCATGCAGAGATCTGACGTCACTGGCTCACGGTGCGTACAAGGATCTGATGTTGCCGGGTCGTGGTGCGTGCAGGGATGTGACGTCGCCGGGGGGTGGCACGTGCAGAGATCTGACGCCGCCGGGGGGCGGCGCCTGCGGCGGTCTGACGTCACTGGGTCA